ACACACACACACACACACACACACACACACACACACACACACACACAGTCCTGTGCATTAAGCAGTTACCCCCTTTCTCTCCCCACTAATCAGCTTTCCGTGTTAATGAATTTTTCTTTTCTGGATGTTTGGACATTTCATATACTTGGAGCAGCCTTCCATGGCCTATTTATTTATTTGGAGACGGGGTCTCACATAGCTAAGGATGACCCTCATCTCCTGATCTCCCTGGCTCCACTCACACCTCCCTTTGGTGGTCTTTTGTGTCTTTTTCCCCTCCTGTCAGATGCAGTGTCCATGCTGTGTCAAAGCTTCATTTCATTTTATGGCCGGATGGTTTCTGCCTGTGTGGATTGATATTTTCCTTCACTGATGGACTGGCATCCGGGTTGGCTTCTGTGAATGTGGCTGCCATGGACACGTGTCCACAAGTGTGTGGACAGAAGCTTTTTTTTTTTTTTTTTATTTCTTTTGGGTAAGTCAATGGAACAGCACTGTTGAGCCACAGGGTGTGTGTTTACCTCTGTGAGGAGCTGCTTGGCTGCTTGCCAGCCTGCCTGTTCAGTTCCGCACACCACCTGCAAGGCACAAGGGGGCGAAATGCTCAGTCCGTGAGGTCACTGGGTTCATTGTTGATGTGTGTGTGTCATATGTATATGTATGTGTGTATTTGCCCATGTGGAGATCAGACATGTGCTTTTGGGAGTCTGTTGTCTCCTTTCACCATGTTGAGGCAGCATTTTTCTTGTCTCTGCTTTGTGCTCTGGGCCAGCTGCCCTATGAGCTTCCTGGAGAGTCTCCTGTCTCTGACTCCCATCCCCCCATAAAAGTTATAGACCCAAGCCTCCTGCATCAGACTTTCTGTTGTTTTTGTTGTAGGGATCCAACTCAAACTTACTTGGAAAGTACTTTAACTGACTGTGCCATCTGGCTGGCCTGGTTTTGTTTTGGTTGCTGGAATAGGTTTATGGTACTCTCAACAGTACTTCTGAAAATGCTTTGATTTCTAAGTTTCACATCTCCCAGGCTGGTCTTGAATCTTCCATGTAGAGTGTGAGCTCCTGACCCTCTTGTGTCTCCCTCCTGAGTTGTTGGGATTACAGATGTCCACTTTATGTGGTGTTGGGAGTTGAACCCAGGGCTTTGTGCATGCTAGGCACTCACTCTGCTGAGCTACAGCTCCACTCCACTTTTGTCTTTATACCTACCTCTGTGGTCTCGGTAATGCCCGTAATGCCCGTTCTACTGCAGCCACTTAATGTCTAGGGAATAATGAGTGTTTACTCATAGGTTAATGAAACACTCACACTGACACAGATGAGAAGAAACTGTTATCACCAGCTGAGCACCGGGGAAGCTAGGGTAGGGGAATGGTAATGAGCTCCAGGTCAGCTTGGGTTACATAGTTGAAACTTTGGCTCAAAACACAAAAAACAAAATCTAAACAAACTGTCATCAGTACATTCCAGATGAAGAGTCTGAGACAAGGCAGACTCTCCCGAAGGCCATGCTGGGGTGCACCTTCTTCTTGCAGTGGTTAAGTTTGAAAGCAAGCAGCATGTCATGCCAGAGCTGTTTCCTGCTTGCCCACAGTGCCAGTCAGAGGTGGGGATGGTGGCCATTGTACTCACTTCTCAGAAGGCATAATGCTACAAGGCTAAAAGCACACAGGGGCCTGTTTCTTCTCTATGCCTTTAAGTACATTTTCTACTTACTTATTGGGTGGGGACTGGGCAGGGTACATGTGCCACAGTATGCTTGCAGAAGTGAGAGGACAACTTGTGGGTGTTGGTTCTTTCTACCATGTGGGGCTGGAGATTACACTTGGGCCATTAGGATTGGTGGCAAGCATCTTTACCTGCTGAGCCATCTCACTTGTTCTTTCTCCATTTATTCCCTTCTTCTTCACATTGAGAACTCAAGGCCTCACATATACTTGGCAAACAATCTACCACTGATCCATGCTCCCAGCCTCACTGGGGGATTCTAGGCAGGGCCTCTACCACTGAGCCACTTGAACACTCTGTAGCACAGACAAGCCTTGAATTTGTGATCTTCCTACCTCAGCCTCTTGAGTATCTGGCATTAGTCATATGGCCCCCAGGCCTGGTTCAGGGCCATCCTCTATTGTCACACTGGCCAGAGGGTCTACTGTGATACTCAGTGGGTAGAAGCTAGAAACTGCCCAGGCTAAGGAGAGTCACAGCAGGAGCTGCCCCAGCCCACTTGGTAACAGGGCTGTTGATGAGAAGCCAAACACCTGCATTCCTTGAGGTCTACTAGGTAGAAACAAGGATTTGGAACCACCTTCCAGGTCTCAAAAGTGGCTCCATATCAACCTAGTGCAGGCAATGAGCTTTGGTAAGTTTTGTCATCCTCCTGGGCTCAACCATCTCTCGGAAAAAGGAACAATTAGGGTCCCTTCCTCAAAATCTTGTAAAGACAAAGCCATTTCTCAGAAACTGGATGTGGTCAGACATTACACTCCCTGATCTCAGGGACTGGAAGCAAGACTCCTCTGAACACTCCAGGGGCTGAGCTGAGCCCAGTTCTCCTGCTTTAACCTCTGTTCTTGGGAAGGTTAGGTGAATTCCAGGCTGAGCAATGGTATGTGAAGATTATCCTTTTATCTTCAAATGCTGATTTCTGTTCTCCACAGGGATCTGACTACCGTCCAGACTTTGGCATTGACATTATTATGAAACATTTCCCGCCTTGATATGTTGCACTGTTCTCCATCACACTCTGATTGGTTAATTAAAGAGCTGCACAGCCAATAGCTGGGCTATTGGAGAGGATAAGGACTTTGAAGCCCAGGGAGAAAGTGTCCCAGGTGGGGACCAGGGAGAGGCGGAGGTGGCCACCTAGACAGGGATGGAGGGGCAGCCTGGGCAAAACTAACATGGCTGGTAATGGGCCATGTGGCTGAAAAGTAGATCAGGCCACTATTGCTGGGTTAGAATAGCTGAGTATCTGCCCAGCTATAGTGCCTTTTAATAAATATGAAGGTCTCAAAGTCATTATTCAGAGTAAGGGTAGGGACAGGAAAACCTCACATTTTATACTAAAATAGCAGGCCATCTCTCAAAACAAAGCAGAATCCAGGGCTGGAGTGTATGTTGGCAACTGTTTGCAGATTCTCAATGCTGTTTGGATTTTAGAGCATGTGTTTTATGTCCAGACCTATTATCCCTCACAGTGTTGGGGGCCCTTTGTGGCCAGAAGCATGTCTAAAGTATGTTTAGGTCTCTCTGCTTTTCTTAGCCCAAAGATATCTGTTGTTGACTGATTCACTGAAAAACCAAGTACAAGGCTTCCCAAGGGTCTATGGTTCCTAGGGAAGACAAGAGTTCAGAGACAGCCGAGCCAGGGAGGACCATAGGTTTATTGGGGGTGCACACACACACACTCACAGCATCACACGACAATAGCACAGTTACTCAGGACATCAAGGTGGCCTCTGCCGTCAAAGTAGGGCCCAGAGGCAGTGGGTTTCAACCTCCTCCCATGCGGCCTAGACCCTACTGGGTCCTTCCTCCAGGGCAGCTGAGGAAGGGAGGGGGCTGCTGGGTGCACCTTGGGCCTGGCAGGGGTGAGCAGGCAGGTTGGTCCAGCAGGCCAGGCTGGGCGGAGGCCACCTCACTCCAGGGACTGCAGCATCAGCAGCTGCTTCAGCACCTTCGTCTGGCTGGTCTCTCGGATTTCACCTGCCAGGAACATCTCATCTACCACTGTGTAAACCTGAGCAAGGGAGGGAGGCAGGGAAAAGCTGGAGTCAGGGAAGGCAGGACCAGCTGCTGCAGTAGCCAGCCCTTGGGAACCAAGTGGTTCCATCCTGAGGAGGAGAGAGCCTTGGGGGGCCAGGCAGATCTCTGGTGGCTCTGGCCACACCTTTATGGCTCCTCTTGCCCACTTCCCCAAGAGCCTACCTTGTAGAAGTTGAACACCAGGTCCAGTTCACAGACATTGTGGAAATATTCATTTAACACCTGAGGGAGGAAGATGAAGAGATAAGAGACAGACACAGGCAGGGCTGGCGAGATGGCTCTGTGGCTAACAGAGAGATGGCTCTGTGGCTAACAGTGCTGTGCAAACCTCAGTTTGCACCCTGTATCCCATGGTGGGAGGAGGGAACCAAGTCCCAGAGCTGTCCTCTGACTTCCATGTCTGAGCCGCGCGCGGCACATGTGTGCCTGCATGCAAACACATACTGCAAACGTTGTATACACATGATGATAAGAAGTAAAATATGAAACAAGAGATGGACTGGCAGGTAGGCCTGGGATGTGGCTCAGTGTTGTCTTGCACTCACAAAGGCCTGGGTTGCATCGCCAGCACTGCAGAAACCTTCTTGGTGGCCCACATGGGTAATCCTAGCATGTGGGAAGTAGAGGAGGACCAGGAATTCAAGTCACCCCTGGCTAAATAGCAAGTTCAAGGCCAGCTGGGGCCATATGGGACCTGTCTGGAAAAAAGCGGGTATGTGCAACTGGAGAGACAGCTCAGTGGTTAAGAGCACAGGTTGCTCTTCCAGAGGACTCAAGTTTGGTTTCCAGCACCCACATCAGTGGCTCACAACAGCCTGTAACTCCAACACCAGGGGGACCAATGCCTTCTGGGCCTTTGGGCACCTGCACACGGGTCATACTCGTGCACACACACACCCAAACTGCAATGGGTGGAGAAAGAGACAACAATGCAGTTGTGTTGCCTGTCATCAAAAACGGGGAAAACTGAGGGGGAAACTATATCGAGGTCCCAGGCTGTCTGTCTGGAGCTACATGGTAAGACATTGTCTCACACAAACAAACCAGTTATCAAGAGACCAGACAGACAGAAATAGTGACAGAAGCAATGAGGACAGGTCGGCTGGGTGACAGATAAGACAGCTGAAGACCTCAATTGCGACACGAGGAGGGGGGCCGGGAAGAGGGCTCGGCTGGAGGTGCCTGCTGCCAAGCCCGGTGACCTGAGTTCAGGCTGGAAGGGGGGCACCAAGTCCATGCTGTCTTCTGAGCTCCTAACTCGCACCAGTGTACAGGCACACTCACCCCATGACTAGAGTCAAAGGTAGAGCTGGGGGGCAGACGGGCAAATGGGAGGCAGCTGGCTGGAGCGAATGGGAGACGCGAGGAGCGTCAGAACAGACAGACAGACTCAGGCACACGGAGGGAGGCTGAGGGGCCAATGGCCAGCCCAGCACCCCAGGGCCTCCTGGGTCAGTACTTGACTCACTTCTACGAAGTTGTGGATGGCCTCGAGGTAGGCCAGGTTGTTGTCGTTGACGTCCACACAGATGCAGAAGTAGAGGCCAGCGTAGCGTCGGTAGATGATCTTGAAGTTCCGGAACTGTGGGCAGAAAGGAGTTGGGACTGAGCCTGGCAGAGGGGGCCAGATGCCAGCTGTTCCACTGTGCATGTGACTCCAGGCACGGCTGTCCCTGGCTTGGCAGGGGGGGAGGGCAGTAGTGACAGCCATCTTTGGTTCATGGCCCCGCAGAGGGTCACTCACCCAGGCAGTGGGAGGGAAAGCTCCAGGGATGGAGCGCCAGGATTGGGTTTTGGGGGGGGGGGGTTAGGATAGGGCCCTAATTTCTTTTCATCCTGGGAGTCAGGGAGGCTTCTTGACCTCTGTGAGTTGAGAGCTGGAAGATAGTCAGGGGAGTTCCAGGCACGGGAAACAGACTGTAAAGGAGCCAGGCAGGGACCCGACTAGGCCTGGCAGCTGTGATCTCAGCCTTGAGGGGCGGGGGCTGAGGCGGGAGGATCACAGGTTTGGAGAAAGTCTGGGCTATGTACTGGGCCCTATCTCAATACAAAACAAAAATGAAGTTTCAGGGTTTTTTTTTTTTTGTTGTTGTTGTTTTAAAACAGGATCTACCATGTAGCCCAGGCTTTGAAATGGCTATGTAGGTGAGAATGGCCTTGAACTCCTGATTGTCCTGCCTCTACTTCCCACAGGCTGGAAATATAGGAGTGCAGCACTACACCTGGCTCAAAGGTTCAGATTTTGAACTGTGTGTAGTCCTTAAGTCAGGAGGGTGAGAGAAGAAAGGATTACCTCAGCCAGGTGTTTCAGATCAGCCTGGGCCACAGAAACAAACAAAACACAGACGTTTCTTATTTTGGGCCATTTTGGATTTTAGAGTTCCAGATAATGGAAGTTCAACTGACACATGTAAATATTAGGACAATGCTTACACAGCTCATAAACTAGATACCTGTGCTAGGTGTAGACTTGATTCTATGTGCATGTACATTAAATAAAGACAAGAGTTGAAGAGGAGCTGGAGGCTGTGGCTCAGTGGTAGAGCCCCTGCCTAGACTTCCCCAGGGCGTGGCTCAGTGATGGATTCCCTGCATAGGATGCAAGAGACCCTGTGTTCTGGACTCAGCACAATGAACAAACAAAAGCTGCTCCTTTTGAGTGCACAGCTGACACAGATGTAGAGGTGCATACTGGGATACAGCTGGTAGTTAGCCAAATCCTAGTTCTCTGAGATGTGTATAGGGCACCCCCTGGTGGTAACTGTGGGGACCTACATATTTTGTGGGTCCTGGAATTTTTATTCTTTTCAGCTCAGCTCATTCCTTTATTATTTATTTATTATTTGTAGAGACAGGATTTCTCTCTGTAACTCTGGATTGTAACTAAGAATACACACTGGACCAGCTTCAAAATGTTCCCGATCTTTCTGCCTCTGCTGCCCCAGTGCGGAGAAAACAGTCACCTCAGAGGAAAAGACAGGAGGATGGTCAGGGCTGGAGGTCAGCCAGGGCAAGCGAGATGCGGTGGCTCATGCCTTTAATCTCAGCATTCAGGAGGCAGAGGCAGGTGGATCTCTGAGTTTGAGGCCAGGACAGCCAGGGCTACACAGAGAAACCCTGTCTCAAACACAAACAAACAAGAAAAGAAAGAGAAAGGAAGGAGGGATGGTGGGCGGGAATAGCTCGTCCCTCAGGTCCTCACTATGTACCCAAAAAGCGGGAATGGTGGCACATGCTTTAATCTCAGAGCGGGGTGGGGGGGGGGGGGGGTGGGCTGAGACAGATGGTCCCCTGGGGCTTTCTGGCTTGTCAGGATAGACTAATCAGTGAGCACCAGGCCTCAACAGAGACTCCACTTTAAAAAAACAAGGTAGTCAGCTCCTGAGGAATGAAACTCAAGGCTGATCTCTGGCCTCTGCACCCTGCCCTCCCAGCCACAAACTTGAAAACACACATAAATGCAGTACTTGTGTTACAGGCATGCACTGAAGTGTTAGGGTCCTAGGCATGCACTTTTTCTCCCTTGAGACAGTGTCTATGTTGGTAGCTGAGGAACCTTCCTGCCTCTGCTTTTCACTTGAATTACAGGCACTACACTGTAATGTTTTCACTAGGATTACAGGCACATATCACTGTACCATGCTACGTGGTTCTGGCTTTGAGGCCTGCACTTCATGCATTCTAGGTAAGCACTTTACCAACTGAACTATATCCTCAGCCTTTCAGGAACCTTTTTTTCCTAGCTGGCCAGGAACTCTCTATGTAGACCAGGCTAGCCTTGAACTCACAGAGATCTACCTGCTTCTGCCCCTTCAGTGCTGGAGTTAAGGGAATGAGTTACCAGATTTAGTACCTACCCAGTTTCTTAAAATTAGTGAGGAATGCCCCATGGAAACCCAGATGCATGCATCCCAGAAGCCCACAAAGGACTTTCCACCAGGGGAGAACAGTGATGATCCTGGCAGTGAGGAGTGGCCTGAGAGATGATATATTAGCCCAATCCCAGGTGACCCCATAAGGCTTGGATTCAGTGACCCCTTTTCCCCCAGGGACAGCATCACCACGGGCTAGTCAATGGGCTTGGCCTTCCTCTGCTCTGGGTGTCTCCCTCCTCCTTTCTCATCGCTTACTCACCTATGCAAGCCACTACTCTCTGCCTGTGCTTGGACACCACAGGTGGCCCACTTTTTGTGGGAGGACAGTGCTACTTCCTGCCAGACCAAAATGAGGCTGATTAAAGTTGAGTCGTGACAGGGTTCAAAAAAAAAAAAAAAAAATTATTGGCAATGTCCCCTTTGCCATGTAGTGTCACATACCCATACAGGAATCAGCACATGGTTGACTTCAAGTGGCATCGGCTCAGTGTTAGCCCAGTTAAAGCAGCACCAGGGACACCTTGGGACATGCTCAGCTTCTCTAACAGGCTCAATGCAATGGGGGTCCTGGGCTGTCCCTAGCCAGTAAGAACCTGGAATGAGATGGAGAGCACTTAGTCTGTGCTCTTTCACTGTCCCAGTGAGTTCTAGAGCCTGGGTACTCCCGAAGTGCTGAAACTTCATTCCATTTTCCTCCCTGGCCTCTCCCTCATTGGTGACTGTCACTCTCTCCCAACACCTCTTTGGAATGAGAGCGGTCATCTCCCTCCTGCTTCTCACCCCCAACCTGCTCTTTTGGGGGACGTATCCTGGAAGAACAGGGCTGTCCAGCTGGAAGCTCAAACCAGAGCCCCCTACCCCAGCTGCAACACTGGCCTCATCACCAGCACCCCTCTGCTGCCATCCCACTGGTACCAGTGAGGGTCTTTTGTTTCTGTTCTTCCTCCCGAAGGGGATCCTAGCCAAGGGTGGTGGTATGGTCCTGTAATCCTAGGACCAAGGAGGCTAAGGCTGGACGATCATGAGTCTGAAGTCAGCCCGGAAATGGAATAGATCTGTGCTCCCTGCACCCAGGTGCCTGAAGAGGATGACTGCTTCCAGTTCAATGCAAGACTACACAATGAGTTTCAGGCTAGCCTGGGCTACAGAGTGAGAACCTGTCTTGAAAAGGCAAAATCAAGGTAATCCAAACATTTGGATGACAGAGGACGGAAAATCAGAAATCAGAAAGGCTGTTCTCAGCTAGATAGTTTGAGGCAGGCGGGAGGCACACAAGACAGATTTGAAAAACAACAAAAAGTCAAAACTAAAACTAAAACTATGGCCAGTAGGTAAATGCCCTTTGCAAGGTGGGGATGGTCCTGAGGTCCATCCCCAGAGAGCCCACACAAAGGTAGAAGGAGATGACACCACAAAATTGTCCTCTGACTTCCACACACATATGCACTGTGGCATGCATTCTCTCTTCCACAATAATAAACAAATGCCCAAACCTATGGGGGATGTTGGAAGCTTGTGCCAACCCATGTCCTACTGCTCGAAACATTTCTGTGGCTCTGGCCACTGAGTGTTCCGGAAGACCTGAGATCTCAGCTATGCTGATTGTCCTTGCCTGGAACTCTGCACCTGTGCTTCTGCCTCAGGGCCTTTCCACCGGCTGATTCCCCCAGGGCTTGGAATGTTCCCAGCTCTGAAAACATCTCGGCCTACTCCCTTAGGTCTCCGGATCTTGGCTGAAAAGGCACCTGAACAAACAAGGTTTGTGGGCCTATTGAAGATCCAAACTCAACTCCTCATGCTTGCATGAGAAGCACTTTATACACTGAGCCCTTCCCCCAAGCTCTGAAAAACAGAAAGAGCTAAAAGCACGCGAGCAGATGAATGAAGAAGGGATATGGGCCTTGCTGCCATTGGAGACGCGCAGGAGGCGGAGGTGCCGGGGAAGTGGGGGCTGAGAGGCACGGGAAAGGCGTCAGTCACCTCTACGAAGTTGGTGTGCTTGGCATCCCTCACGGTGACCACAGCGTGCACTTCCTCAATCAGCTTCTGCTTCTCATCATCATCGAACTGCATGTACCACTTGGCCAGGCGCGTCTTGCCTGCCCGGTTCTGGATGAGGATGAAGCGGATCTAGGGCAAGCAGGGGAGGAATTGAGAGAGAGGCAGGGACACGGCTCAGGGATGGGCCCCAGGGTCTCCCTGCAGGGAGGCTGCCTCTCTGGGCCCTGCTGGGTTACTCCAAGTCCCTGCGACCCCTCTCTCACCGAGTAACTGTCTATGCCCCAGGTTTCAGTTCATCTTATACCATCTCAGAAGCCACTCCTTCACCCTCAAATCATGTTTCCCAAGATGCCCCAGTTTATCAGAGACGGGGGTTGTGTACAGTGCTGGGGAAGCTCCCAAGGCCCTGTGCAAGCCAGGCAGGAACTCCACTGCTGAGTGGCATCTCCAGCCCCTCACTGGGAGAGGGCAGGCACTACCAAGCAACAAATTATTAACCAAGCTCAATGTTGGCTAACTAGGTACCCAGGGAATGCTTATATTTAGATGTTTTGTGTCTGAGTTCCTACTACATATGCAGCCCAGGCTGGCTTCAAACTTACCATACAGCCATGTAGGCCTTGAACTCCCGCTCCTCTTGCTTCCACTTCCCAATGCTGGGATTCCAGGCATGTAACAGAGCTCAGCTGTTTTTTTTTTTATTATTTGTGTTCATATGTGCACTTGCGTGCAGATGCCCATAGAGACCAGAAGCATCAGATCCCTTGGAGCTGGTGTTACAGGTGGCTGAAAGCACCCACGTGGGTGCTGGGAACCAAATGTGGGTCCTCTGCAAGAGCAGTAGGCGCTCTTAACTGCTGAGCCACCTCTCCAGCACTGGCTTTTCTGTTTAAGACAGGGTCTCCCAGCCAGGTATTGGTGGCACACACTTTTAATCCCAGCATTCAGGAGGCAGAGGCAGATGGATCTCTTTGAGTTTGAGGTCAGTCTAATCTACATAGCAAGATCTAGGAGAGCCAAAGCCTACACATACCACACACAAAACCTGTCTCAAAAAAAAAAAAAAAAAAAAGACAGAAGGGGTCTCCTTATGCACCTAGGTTGGTTCAAAAATTGGGGCAATCCTCTGTCTCAGCCTCTCAAAGTTCTGCAATTATACATGTGGGCCACCATGACTGGGTTTGCTGGTGCTTGATGGAATCCCAATACCCTGGAGGCAAGAGGCAGGAGAATTACTGTATGTGGCAAGCTTGGTTTACATACTGAGTTCCAGACCAGCCAAGGATACATGTCAAGAAAAACCAAACCAAACCAAAATCAGATACCCAAACTTCGGCCCTTCAAATGTTCTAAGGGTAATTTAGGATGATCCCTTAACCCACTCAGCATCGCACAATCATCACCACTATTCTAGTGCACATTCCCTCTTCTCATTTTGCCGAGAGTAGCCTGGACGTCTCCGTTACCCAGGCAAACCTGGAACTTATGCTCCTCCTGCCTCATCCTGAAAGCAACTTCAAGCCTGTCCATCTCCACTGAGGGGTCTACAGTGTCATTTAGTCTTTCTTCAGCCAATGGACGACTGCCTTACTTCCGTTCTTGGGCTACCACGAGATATGTTATACAAGTTGCTGTGTGTGTGTATTCTCCCCCCCCCCCCCCCCCCGCTGCTTTTTTTGGCTACATCTCTAGAAGCAGAATTGCTGGGTTATACGGAATTACGGAATCCTTTCCAGGAAATGTTAAGCTGCTTCCTCGAATCTGGCATTTTTTTGTTTGTTTGTGCGGAGGTCAGAGGATTTTGGGGATAGCCATTTGCCCCTTCCTCCTTGGGTTCCTGGTTTTAAATTTAGCTTGTCTGGTCTGCGTGGCAAGCACTTTTACCATCTGAGCCATTTCAGCTCATGTTTGTCTGTTTTGTTGAATCCTAGGATAGAGCCTGGGGCCTCATGCTTGCCAGGCAGAGCAAGTCAGCTTTGATACTTAAGGTCCGTACTGCTTGGGGTTCCAGTGTACTGTGGGCAGGGAACCATGTATGAGAACCACCTGACTAGGTCTGGCTCAGACCATGTACTCTGTGTCAGTCTGACTGTCTTCCGTCTGGCTCAGAAGAAGGTTACAAGACCTCAAATAATCAGGTCACCTGTCTGCAACACTAGGACAAATTCTGAAAGCTGAGTAAGTCAGGTGGACTTGCTGGCACAGACTTGTCATCCCAGCTATTTTGGGAGGCTGAGACAAGACCATCACAGGTTCGAGGCCTGCCTAGGCAACCTGGTGAGACCCCATCTGAAAATAAAGAGGATGAATCACAGTGATGAAGTGCCTGCTTAGCATGCTCAAGGCCTGAGGCTCAATACCCAGGACCACAGGAAACAAAACAATTGAATGAGTTAAAGCCATAAGTGCTCAGCAGAGTGCTCAGTAAACTAGCAATCATTATAACCCAGACCAGAGATTCTCAACATTCCTGATGCTGCAACCCTTAAATACAGTTCCTCATGTTATGATGACCCCCAACTGTAAAATTCTTTTGTGATTACTTCATAACTGTAATTTTGCTGCTGACATGAACCATAATGTAAAATCTGTGTTTTCTGGTGGTCTTAGGCAACCCCTGTGAAAGGGTCATTTAACCCCCAAGAGGGGTTGTGACCTACAGGTTGAGAACTTGCATTCAGTCAAGCAGCTAAGAGCACACACTCCTGAGCTAGAAAACATTCTAGTACTATCAGGCAGTGGCTATATGTTCATGGGCAGATCACTTAACCTCTGTGGGCCTCAGCTTCCCCTTCTGTGTAAAGGGATTTCCTTCTTTGTTAGCCAGCCAGGGATACACATCTGTAACTGCAGCTGTGAAGGCTAAGGCAGGGAGGCTGGGAGTTCAAAGGCAGCCTGCAAGACCCTGCCAAAATGAAAAAGGAGCTGATGAGATGGTTCAGTGAGTACAGGTTGCCAAGTCTGAAGACCTGAGTTTGATCCCCGAGACCCACATGGGAGAATAAAAGAACTGACTCCTGCAGGCTGCTCCTGGCCTCCACACACATAATGTAAAAGAAATAAAACACAAGAAAGGACTGAGATGTAGCTCAGTGGCAGGGGACTTGACTACCGTGTATAGGCCCTGGGTTTCATCCTCAATACAAAAAAAAATTTAAAAAAGGAAGGGAGAGGGAGGGAGGAACACGGACACACACACACACACACACACACACACACACACACCACAGAGAGGGCGGACGACAGAAAGAAAGGAGAGCGAAACCACAAGGCTGGAAATTTAGCTTAACGCAAAGTACTTATGCAGCAGCCCAAGACCCTAGGTTCAATGCTCTAGCGGGGTTCAATAATAGGTACTGATTAAAAAAAGATAAAATCATGGCTCAAGGTTTCCTGCTAGGAAGCCTGGCTTCGAGTCCTGTCTGAGACAGGTATGCTTCTGCCATTTTACAGATGATAAGCTTAGCGAAGGCCCAGGGAGAGCGGCTATCACAACAACAGACAGCAGAGCTAGCCATTCAGTCTGTATTTACCCTGAGCCCTGGATTCTTTGAGGGCTTCCCCTGGCATCCCCAAGCCTTACGCTTCACTCATCTATCCGCCTCATTCAACCCAAGCAGAGAAACGGGAACAGGATGTTACCCGCTCCTTCCAAGAACTCCTGCTGAGCCAGGGAAACCCAATTCTGCGAAGCCCAGGAAGGAAAAGCAGCCCAGGAAGGAAAAGCGTGGGGGCATCGGGCAGGCTCAGGCAGAACGTGGCACAGAAGCATAGGGGACGAACAGCTAAAAGCAGGACAAGTTAAGCCCTCTGCTTCCTACCCACCTCTCCCAACCAGTGAGAATCGTTCCACCCCTGGGAACACATATCTGGGAATGCCCTTGTCCCTGGGTCCATCCTCTGCTGTCCCCTCAGGGGGCCTCCCAACCATCTCCCCTGAGGTTTAGTGTAACCTCTATTCCCTCACCTTCGGCCCCTCTCCTGAAGCTTCTTCCAACCTTCGTTACAAGCATCCCTTCTTCCTTACTAAGGCTGACCTCCCTTGTTACAGAGGTCATGAGGCGAAGACTCCTCTCCTGTTCTGACACGTCCCTCCTATTGATCTTCTCTCCTAAGTCTCTATCCAAAGGAACTCTTCGTTCCAAAAGCCCCATCTTGGAGGTGGAGGTCCAGCCTCTGCTCCCAAAGCTCCCCCTCAAACGTCACGACTTCAAACCTACTCTGCATCCCAGATCTCTCCTCTGAGGAAAGTTCTGTTCAGCTGTTCCCCTTCTCTTCTAGAATCCATTTTCTACTTCTAGAACACTCTCAACTTTTGCAGCAACCTAACCCTAAACCTACAGGGGCAGACTTCCGGTCTCCAGGGTCCTCTTCCTCCCCTGGAGTCTCTCCCCCAGCCATATCCAACTTGTCCCAACACTCGCTGTCCCTAAAGCCAGCTCCTTCTTTCCCACTTTCCCATAAGGCACCCTCCCTGTCCAGTCTGTAGAGTCTCTGGTTCTTCTCCATCACCCCTTCCTTATCTCCAATGTCTTCTGCCTCTGTGGTTTCAGAATCTTCCCCAAATATTTCCCACCAGGGCAACCTCTCCCCTGGACACTCCTCTCCCTCCATATCCTTTAGCTTGGAACCCCAAGCACAACCCGCGGCGCAGCATCGAGGCCCTGATCCCCCTTCCCTGCTCCAATCCCGAGAACCTGCGCCCGGCCGGATCATCTGCGGCAGAAGCAAGCTTGTCAGCTCCAAACCGAAACTCCACGGTGTGTGCGCAGACCCTCCCTCCGCCCGTCCCCGGTACGACGCTCCCACCGTTACCATGGCGACCCCTGTCCGGACCCCAGAGGCCCGGGTCCCCGCTGTAACTGTGCGGCTCCGGCTCGGCCTGCAGTTGTGCGGCCCAGGGTTAGGGCTGACTTCCGGCAGGAGAACCCGCCTTCCTCCTCATGCACGGCCCTCTGGGAGTTGTAGTTTAAACGTAGGCGTTGGCAAGTAAGGCTGGCCCTGTCGGAGCGCCTACCCAGCATGCTGTGCGGTTGTCCTTTTCCCATCAAGAAAGCTAGCCACCAAATGCATGCTGGACCTTGTAGATTAAGGTCTCTGTAGAACGACACTTCCCATAGGTTAAAAGCAGGGGAAGTGAGCTCTGTATTTCGGGAAATGTGGTTCTAGTGCTCCTCCAACCCAAATAGCCCATCCAAGGGCATGCTGGAAATAGTAGTTTTTTTTCTTTTTTTTTTTAATTTATAATTTCATAATATATAATGTAGTTTGATAGCGTTCCCTAATTACCATCACCTTTTTTCGTTCTCTTCCATCAAAAACCTTTCTTCCCCAAAGTTCTCCTATTTTCATGTCTTTTTTCCTTGGGTGTGTGTGGGGGAGGGTGGCCTACGGAATTTATCTAGGGTTGTGGCTGGGGGCTTTACTTACTTGAGCAAGGACAACTTTTAACTGAATACACTACTGGGAATGTGAATGCCTCACCCACTGTGACTGGTTTTTGTTTGTTTTTTTTGGAGACAGGGTTTGTCTGTGTAACCTTCGCTGTTCTAGACTCACTTTGTAGACCTAACAGGTTTCGAACTCACAGACATTCTCCTGCCTCTGCCTCCTCGAGTGCTAGGATTACAGGCATGCACCACTGCTCCTGGCTTAATTTATTATTATTATTATTTTCATCATCATTATTGGGTTTTCGAGACAGGGTTTCTCTTTGTAGCCCTGGCTATCCTAGACCTGATTTGTAGACCAGCTGGCTTGAACACACAGATATCCGCCTGTTTCTGCCTCTGGAGTGTTGGGATTAAAGGCAAGCCCCATCACCTGGCTGCCGCTGGCTTTTAAATTTTCACTTATTGTATATATATGAGTCCTTGAGTGTGTGAGTAAGTGTGTGTGTGTGTGTGTGTGTGTGTGTGTGGGTGGGTGGGTGGGTGAGAGAGAGAGAGAGAGAGAAGTGGGCAGAGAGCTCACTTACTGTATGTGTATGGGTTCTTGTGTGTGTGTGTGTGTATGTTACCACCTGCATGTGTGTATGTTACAACACGTGTGTAACGCCCAAAGAGGTGGAAGAGAGCATGTGAACCTGGAAACTGGAGTTATGGAAGACTGTGAGCTGCGGGGTAGGTACTGGGAGCCGAATCTGGAAGAGCAGCAAGAGCTCTTAAACACCGAGGCCCCTCTGCGGCCCCACCGCATCAGCTGTTCCTCAGGGAGCGTGCAGCCTTTGGGCCTCTCCCCTCCCTGTGATGAGATGTTGATGGGCCAGCCTTCTCAGGTCTTGAGCAGCAACCACAGCTTCTGTGAGTTATGGAGTTATCCCTGTCATGTCCAGAAGGCAAGTTTCACCCTTCCCTCCAGTGACTTTTTTTTTTTTTTTTTAAGAGAGGATCTCATGTAGACCAGCCTAGAACTAGCCTTGTAGGGGAGGATCCCTTGGAGTGCTGATCCTCCTGCTTCTGCTTCTGAAGGGGTTGCGTTATAGACATAGCCACCACACCAGGCTTAGGAACTGTATGGTTTTGTTTTTGTTTTTTGAGTCAGGGTTTCTCTGTGTAGCCCTGGCTGTCCTGGAACTCACTTGGTAGACCAGGCTGGCCTTGAACTCAGAGATCTGCCTGCTTCTGCCTTCCCCAGTGCTGGGATTAAAGGTGTGTGCCACCACTGCCTGGCAGAAATAATAGTTTTAAATAAGAAATTACGCTGTGGATCTAAAAACGTAGCAGTCTTTCTATGCTCATTCTGTGCTCTATTTAAAATAGTTGAGGTTAGGGGTATAGCTTTGACCCACAACCTTTCTCATAAATATAAACACAAATATACATGAAATAAAATAAAGATAAGACTCGGGTCGGACACAGTGGTGTGTGTCTGTAATTCCAGTGTAGTGTATTGCTATGGATTTAAGGCTATCCTGAGTCAGACGGTGACTCTCTGGCTAGCCTGGACTATATAGACTCAGACTTTGTTTCAAAAACCTAAAAACAGCGCCAGGGAGATAGGTCAGTGAATAAAGATACCTGCTGCCTGCTGCCTGAGTTTAATCCTCAGGACGCCCGTGGAGGAAGGAGAGAGCTGATTCCCTCAGGGTGACTTCACACACACACACACACACACACACACACACACACACACACTCACACTCACAAAATGGAAAAACTTACAAGAAGTAAAGAGAAAAGTAAGAAAAGAAATCTTTTGTGTGGAGCTCTTTCTGGAATAAGGACTCCGACCCCGATGAGAGTGGACGAGGAGACGCCACTGGGTGGCCAAGGCTAGCACAGTTCCCGGAAGGCTTCCGTCCCCAGCCAGTTTGTATTCCCGTTCTACACTCTAAAACCACTAGGTGGGGCAAACCCGTTGTGGCTTCAGTGGTGAGACAACAACCCACTGTTTCTTCAGGTCACTCTGTGAGGACATGTTTGTTAAATAAGCAGCACAAACAGTGCTGTAAGCAAAACACTAAACAAACCAACAAATCTGTACCTAGGAATTGGTCTTTTTTTCTACCTTATTCTACTTCATTCTCTTTGCCTTCCTAACACCTTATGAATCTATCCTGAAGAAAATGGGTGAGCACTCCTTGTGTATTGCCTGCAGTTTTATTGCTTTCATTCTAGTTCTGAGGAACCTGGGCAGGGTGTTTAAGATGCATAGTCCTAACAGAAATTTTCGCACTGTCGTTATGAGAGGTCCCATAGTGGAGCCAGCAGGGACCCCGTGTTGTCCATATTATTCTCTCATATTATTCTTTCTTATAACACAACTTTTGCTTTCTTTTACTTTTCTTGATCAGAAAACCATTCAAAAACATAGATATGCTTCCCTTTTTGGTAGTAATCAAACCTGATCCTCTTTGGCTTTGGAGGAACGCTGCTGCCAATGAATCTATCTGATTCTGGAGAGTGACTATGCTTTCCTTAATAGCAGATAATCTTCGGTCTGAGCAGGGAGCTGGCACTTGTTGAATCCCAAATGCAGAGGCGCTAGTCTCCATGAACCCTGCCAGGATCATTCCAAGCAAGACTGGTAAAAGTACAGGAGTTCTCTTATCTATTTGTTGGCAGTGCCAGGCATCCTGAAGGTGCTGTTTGACAAAGTTCCAGTGCTCAGACAACCTGGGTTGACCTTTCACTGCCCTTGGTGGAAATTTGCTATACAACTTTTGCTTGTAATTATACCTCCAACTGTTAAAGGCTTCTCACCAAAAGCCAGAGCTGGGGCAATGTAACAGAAGCTGGTGTTAGGAAGAATAAAACTAATGGGAAAAACAGCTTTGCCGAAAAGTGAGTCTTCCATAGAACCCATTATTTAGACACATATATTTAGATGGTTTGTGATCTTAGTAAGCATAGAACTCAATTTTTGAGAAAAACCATTAAAGAAGAAAAGCTTAGGGAAATTCTAGAAGCTGACAAACTAGAACCGAATCATTAGGTTTTCATCTGCAGCTTCAGAAACATGGAATTACTATGGACAGAAATAGACTTTGATTATACAAGTAATAACAAACCTTGGTACCTTCCTGAAGGCAAAGCAAGCAGTTTTAGGAATCCTGATGTTCTTCTTCCCTTTACAGGATTGTAATAAAGATAGGGATCATATTGAAACAAGGGATTATGACAAAGACACAGAGGAACATTTTGGCCCAGTGAACTGTCTGCCTTTCTGAGCAGACAGTTCAGTGAGATCAGGACTTTTCTGATGTTGAAGAACAACAAAAAACAGACTGCTTTCATTAAGCAACGTTTGTGTGCTGCTAGAAAGGTTGCACAGTATTTTAAGAATCAAAGGAAAGGCTCTGGAGAGATGGCTCAGTGAATAAGCACTGTGTCCTTCTCCAGAGGTCTTGAGTTCAGTTCCCAGCAACCACACGGAGGCTCCCAACCATCTCTACTGGGATCTGATGCCCTCTTCTGGCATGCAGGCGCACATACTGATAGAACACTCATACATAAAAAGAAAGAAATAAATAAAATCTTAAAAAAAAAGGAATCAAAGGAGAGAACGGTGGTCTTATGTCAAATATAAAAGAAAAATAGAAGAGGATAAAGGAAGAATTAAACTAGGGACTGAGAGGTTGGCTTCTGTAGAAAAGTTTAATATAACAGGTAGTGGGAAATAACTTCTGATCTAAACTGTGCCAAACTTACACAGAATCAAACTCAGATAGAGTCATCCTGTCTAGCATTTCTGGAGCAGCAAGACTTTATGACACTGATCTTAAGGAAAAGACATTGAGTTAAAACTGATTTTATCATTAAGTTAATTTTCAGTTGTCATGAAATTTGCAGTTTGCTCACCTTGTTTCTTTTAGTTCAATATGCTTGTGTAATCAATGAAGGTTTTAGAACAAACAAACAAACATGTCCTAAAAGGTTACATGTAATGGTGTATAAAGCCCGTGAGAGACATAGGCTGTCAGAGCAGGTCAAGCCATACTGAGACGTGGTTCCTCTCTGCCCGTCTCAATGAAAATAAAAGGTGTCTTGCGTCTGATTTCTCCCTCACCACTCTTGCGCCCACCCGCCTCAAGCCCTGTTCTCACCCAGGGCTGGATCCTGACAATTTATAATTTTAACCTAAGGGATGTAAGTGTTGCTGGGTCTCGCTTCCTGGGAGCACATCTAAGCAGGCACTGCTCAGCCTCTGTCTCCTGAGTAACAGGTGTAAACAGCCCAGGGGCAAGTGAAGTATGTGCCATTAGGAGCTACTGCTCTTTATTTTTATTTATTTTTTTATTCCATTTACATCTCGGTCATAGGCCCCTCCTCTCCTTCCAGTCTCACCCTTCTGCATCCCCTCTCCCCTATTCCTCAGAATTGGGGAGCCCCCCTACCCACATACCCCAGCTCATCTATTCACATGAGGACTGAGTTCATCTTCCTTCCCTGTGGCCTGGTAGGGGGGACCCATCACAGCAAAGTGATCA